GAAAGCATTGCGTTGGGATAGATCGAGAACCAGTACCGCCTCTTAAAGAGCTAGTTCTGCGCTAGTTCCGAACTAGCACGATTTACTGCAGGGATATGTACGTAGTGCATAGGGCGACATCTATCTCTCAAATAAGTGTCTGGATACACAACATTGCAAGTTGATAAAAGCGTTGTAAAAATAGTCATTAAGTTCATTTCCACGTGGCATTTTTATAAATGGCATACATTTTATGTAATTTCAATGCCTAGTCGAAAAGTTACAGAAAATACTTTAAAAGGCAAGCGTATTTGTTTTTAACAATATTTTGGTATATAAATAAAATGTTGTTCAAAAAAATAAATAAATAGCCAAAGAATTCCTTACATTTCATTGCTTTAAAATTAGAAGTCGGTTTCTCTCTTTGCGCCAGGAAGCAATCTTTATACATACTGAAGACCCTCTCAGGTTGCTTCGTTTGAGTGTAGTATTGAAAAAACAAAATGACATATTATTTCAAACTGTGAAAACATACCACTATTTAAAGACTTAATCCATGGCCTAAATTACTTTTTTCACCTTCGCAAAAACTTTTACAGGCTAAGAATTCCCAAAAAGGAGTATCTTACTCGATGTCTTGTATGCAAATTGAGAAAAAATAATTGTTAGTTGTAGGCAAAAGCCATTCAACTATTCAAACTGAAAGTTATTTTCCAACACTACCAACATTCGCCAGCCCTCTTTTGAAATAAATTATACTCCATCAAATTATCGCAATTGGTACGTAATGACTAGGCGATATGCTGCTCTGTTTGTTGTACGAATTTCATGGGCATATCAAAAATTATCTGAAATAAGTCAACTATAATTATATTATTATTCTTACTCGTTTACAGTACAGTTTAACGAAGTTCCAACGTTCTGTAAAAATCTTAAAAATCTTAAAATCTTAAAAAATTCCAAAGTATTTTGTTTTTGTAAAAAATACTACACAAACAAAAAACATTTGGAAAAACTACCGAACACCGAGTTACCGAGTTAAAATTTATATGCTCAGTACAAATCAGTACGAATTTTGAGATAGCAGGACATTAGCGTACTGATTGAGGAAATGAAAAGAATCAGTACGAGAGTACTGATAAAATTAGATTAGTCTGTCTGGCTACCATATGCATAATCCAATAACCGATAATATCAAATATTTATGAAAATCTATTTTATCAATAGTCTGAAACAAAAAAATTACCAATCAGATGGATAAAATGGTATTGTGTTATTAAATCAAACATAAAAAAATAAGTGGTTTATTGACAAAGGCGGGGGGATCTACCCGATCTACCCGATCTTCCCCCCCATTCCTACCCCCTGGCTACGCCACTGCTCGGAATGTATTTCATCATTAGACCTCTTCATTAAATTGAAATTTGGAAAATAAACTCTGCAAGACACCGCAAAAATGCAATGCATGTATGCACATTTATATTCCGCACGTAAAGTGTATACATAGAAAATTCCTTAATTTTATTTACATACGTATGTACATACGTATGTACATAAATACATATACATTCTTGGCCTTAGCTAAAATTAACAATAAATATTATATCGCATACCCCCTGATTCAGACTTTACTATCTCCACTATGCACTTCCATATTTGTAAGCGTAATATCGTCCTTGCATTACATCCTGCAGTATTATATGTTGTACATACTACGTATAATTCCAATCCAAACTGTTGAAATCCTAACAAACTATTTACTACCTTACCCGCTCCTATTTATGTACATATTTGTATACATATATATGTACACTTGTGTTAATATTTTAAAATTATTAAATTTTCGCGGCCTCTTAATGGTTCACCGTCTGTCCGTTTTAATCCCTAAACCTATGTATGTAGTATCTATGTATATGCATACTTAATATATTCTAAGTATGTTTTTCCAGAATCAAAATCCTCTTTGAATGTCTAAATACCTAGCTAAAGCACCATTTTGGTGCTTAAATTCAATCCTTTACTTTCAGGTAGTCCTCGTGAGCCGAGTACCAACCGATTTGATGACTCGCAATTAGTTTTACGAATGCATCGTGGACGTCCCTGCAACACCCCACAGCGAACCACCCTATCAGTGCACTCTATGTCATCGACGCTTAGTGTGAATAGTAATGGTGAAGATGGGTACATTATGTCACACCATCAAACAACCATTTCTCAGCCTCATACGCCGAAGCGCGCCACTTCGATGCGCTTACACCGCCAGCGACATGAAAAGATATCTATCAAGGTGTCTTTCCCCTCATCTGAAAACATGCTTGGTTCGCACTCAGCCTTGCCCAGTTCACCTCTGCCGTACTCTGCTTCTTTGATAACGACCGCGCGAGGTAAATCAGCACTTGGGAATGGGCGGGGCGCTTCATTTAAAACAAGTCTAATCGATATCGGAGAGACGACTTTTAACACAGAAGGCGGTGTAAGAAATTCGAGTGCTAGTACAACTGGCAGCCAGCGGGACCTAGAGTCGGATATAGGTTGGCGTGAGTGCCGCTTAAAAATTGAAGAGAAAATGATAAAGTTTAATATAAACAAAATAAAAGGATAAAAAAATTAAATAAAATGCAATCTGTAAACAAACAGAAAAAATTAAAAAATATCAAAAAATCGAATAATCAAATTTTTTTTTTCATAAAAAACTTATTGTTGCAGATCTGTACAAAATGGAAACAGTTAAGAAAAGAAAAAATATCCAGTAATNAAAACAGAAAAAATTAAAAAATATCAAAAAGTCTAATAATAAAATTTTTTTTTCATAAAAAACTTATTGGTGCAGATCTGTACCAAATGGAAACAGTTAAGGAAAGAAAAAATATCCAGTAATCTAGTTTTAAAATTTTTTCTCATAAAAAACTTGTCCCAGAACTGTCGAAAATGGAACCAGTTCAGAACTAGTTCCAAAGTTCTGCAAAGGTGGCAATTTCCACTTCGTAGGACATCGCCATGTGAAAAGAGACAGTTGAAAGCATTGCGTTGGGATAGATCGAGAACCAGTACCGCCTCTTAAAGAGCTAGTTCTGCGCTAGTTCCGAACTAGCACGATTTACTGCAGGGATATGTACGTAGTGCATAGGGCGACATCTATCTCTCAAATAAGTGTCTGGATACACAACATTGCAAGTTGATAAAAGCGTTGTAAAAATAGTCATTAAGTTCATTTCCACGTGGCATTTTTATAAATGGCATACATTTTATGTAATTTCAATGCCTAGTCGAAAAGTTACAGAAAATACTTTAAAAGGCAAGCGTATTTGTTTTTAACAATATTTTGGTATATAAATAAAATGTTGTTCAAAAAAATAAATAAATAGCCAAAGAATTCCTTACATTTCATTGCTTTAAAATTAGAAGTCGGTTTCTCTCTTTGCGCCAGGAAGCAATCTTTATACATACTGAAGACCCTCTCAGGTTGCTTCGTTTGAGTGTAGTATTGAAAAAACAAAATGACATATTATTTCAAACTGTGAAAACATACCACTATTTAAAGACTTAATCCATGGCCTAAATTACTTTTTTCACCTTCGCAAAAACTTTTACAGGCTAAGAATTCCCAAAAAGGAGTATCTTACTCGATGTCTTGTATGCAAATTGAGAAAAAATAATTGTTAGTTGTAGGCAAAAGCCATTCAACTATTCAAACTGAAAGTTATTTTCCAACACTACCAACATTCGCCAGCCCTCTTTTGAAATAAATTATACTCCATCAAATTATCGCAATTGGTACGTAATGACTAGGCGATATGCTGCTCTGTTTGTTGTACGAATTTCATGGGCATATCAAAAATTATCTGAAATAAGTCAACTATAATTATATTATTATTCTTACTCGTTTACAGTACAGTTTAACGAAGTTCCAACGTTCTGTAAAAATCTTAAAAATCTTAAAATCTTAAAAAATTCCAAAGTATTTTGTTTTTGTAAAAAATACTACACAAACAAAAAACATTTGGAAAAACTACCGAACACCGAGTTACCGAGTTAAAATTTATATGCTCAGTACAAATCAGTACGAATTTTGAGATAGCAGGACATTAGCGTACTGATTGAGGAAATGAAAAGAATCAGTACGAGAGTACTGATAAAATTAGATTAGTCTGTCTGGCTACCATATGCATAATCCAATAACCGATAATATCAAATATTTATGAAAATCTATTTTATCAATAGTCTGAAACAAAAAAATTACCAATCAGATGGATAAAATGGTATTGTGTTATTAAATCAAACATACAAAAATAAGTGGTTTATTGACAAAGGCGGGGGGATCTACCCGATCTACCCGATCTTCCCCCCCATTCCTACCCCCTGGCTACGCCACTGCTCGGAATGTATTTCATCATTAGACCTCTTCATTAAATTGAAACTTGGAAAATAAACTCTGCAAGACACCGCAAAAATGCAATGCATGTATGCACATTTATATTCCGCACGTAAAGTGTATACATAGAAAATTCCTTAATTTTATTTACATACGTATGTACATACGTATGTACATAAATACATATACATTCTTGGCCTTAGCTAAAATTAACAATAAATATTATATCGCATACCCCCTGATTCAGACTTTACTATCTCCACTATGCACTTCCATATTTGTAAGCGTAATATCGTCCTTGCATTACATCCTGCAGTATTATATGTTGTACATACTACGTATAATTCCAATCCAAACTGTTGAAATCCTAACAAACTATTTACTACCTTACCCGCTCCTATTAATGTACATATTTGTATACATATATATGTACACTTGTGTTAATATTTTAAAATTATTAAATTTTCGCGGCCTCTTAATGGTTCACCGTCTGTCCGTTTTAATCCCTAAACCTATGTATGTAGTATCTATGTATATGCATACTTAATATATTCTAAGTATGTTTTTCCAGAATCAAAATCCTCTTTGAATGTCTAAATACCTAGCTAAAGCACCATTTTGGTGCTTAAATTCAATCCTTTACTTTCAGGTAGTCCTCGTGAGCCGAGTACCAACCGATTTGATGACTCGCAATTAGTTTTACGAATGCATCGTGGACGTCCCTGCAACACCCCACAGCGAACCACCCTATCAGTGCACTCTATGTCATCGACGCTTAGTGTGAATAGTAATGGTGAAGATGGGTACATTATGTCACACCATCAAACAACCATTTCTCAGCCTCATACGCCGAAGCGCGCCACTTCGATGCGCTTACACCGCCAGCGACATGAAAAGATATCTATCAAGGTGTCTTTCCCCTCATCTGAAAACATGCTTGGTTCGCACTCAGCCTTGCCCAGTTCACCTCTGCCGACCTCTGCTTCTTTGATAACGACCGCGCGAGGTAAATCAGCACTTGGGAATGGGCGGGGCGCTTCATTTAAAACAAGTCTAATCGATATCGGAGAGACGACTTTTAACACAGAAGGCGGTGTAAGAAATTCGAGTGCTAGTACAACTGGCAGCCAACGGGACCTAGAGTCGGATATAGGTAGCGACATCGGCAATGGGAGTAACTCAACAGGAAAGAAGCGCGGGTGTAAGCGAAATGCGAAATTCCAAGCGAAACGCTTTCGCATGGAAACAAAGGCGGCAAAGACACTCGCCATAATAGTTGGAGGTTTTATCATCTGTTGGTTGCCCTTCTTTACTGTTTATCTTATACGTGCCTTCTGCGAGGAATGCATCGAACCAACGGTTTTCTCAGTGCTCTTCTGGCTAGGCTACTGCAACTCAGCGATAAATCCGCTCATCTATGCCCTCTTCTCAAAGGAGTTTCGTATCGCTTTTGAGCGCATTATCTGTCGTTGTGTGTGTACTCGTAGTGGATTCCGGGCATCTGAAAATTTTCAAATGATTGCTGCACGCGCACTTATGGCGCCAGCTACTTTTCACAAAACAATCTCTGGCTGCTCCGATGAAGAGGAAGGCGGAATCCATTTTAGTTGATTTGTTGACAGCGTTTGTGTTTTGGATACTCCACAGCAGCGAATTACAAACGTGCAAATATAAATTGCCAGCAGCAGCCAAGAGCGCTGACCGGGTTTCTGCATTGATATAAATAAAGGGAGGTCTTTAGAGACATACATAATTAAACATCGGACTTCAATGCAAGCTATTATTAGTGACACATTTGCGTATGTACATACATACATTTTAATATACATACATAGTATGTATGTATATACATATACTTATTTACACAGACGTATGCCCGTTTTCTTTGGTGTGCGCTCAGCCCCCGAAAAAAAAAAACTGAAAATGCATATGGATAGCTATTGGTGCCAAAGATTGATAAACGATGTTGTTAAAATGGCAATAATTTTATAACTCTTAAATACTTATGTAGCAATATTCATGTGAATTAATATGTACTAAGGACTACATACAAATATATTTACATATGTATGGTACTGCTTTAATAAAACACTATGTATACATTTTGTATGTGTAAAATATCTAAGAACTTACTTATACCCAATTTGCCACAGAGTGAAGACGAATTCGAAACGACGTCTAAACGAAGTCGTTTTTTCCATACAAACCGCAACGTCGTTCCTACGTCGTTTTTCCTCATCGAATCGAAGTCGTTACGACGTCGGTTTGGTGAAGTCGTTTAGGTGAACTCGTAACGACGTCTTTACGAAGTCGTTTGGCAAATTGGGTACATATGTACATACCTATGTAATACTATGTATGTATGATTATATCTGTCAGTTATTTGCGTGCTTTCATACATCCGGGTAGAGAAGCTAAATCTCAGTAAACTGTATATTGATTTAAAAATTTACATATCCCGCCCAAATCATAGAGGATATTCAAAAGGCTAATTTTACACGACAGACGTTTTAACTTTTTATGTGTGCATAAATCGTTCTGTATAACAAATAAAGGAATGTAAAATTCTCACTGTATAAGGGTAAATGACACCAGAAGTCGAGATTAATTCTCTCAAGCTGCCGAGTAACGTAAAAACAAATTTTTTTAGGTAATTATTCATTGCCAATGTTCGAACCCTGGCTTGAGCAAAATCCATTAAGGATTTTTCTAAGAGTAGTCGCCCATAAAATGTGCAGTGGGGTATAGTCGTCTTTCTGGATTACAGTTACAGGTGCAGGGTTGTGCGCTGGGTTAGGGACCCGCCACTCGAAACTACTTCCAGTGAATAATAAAACCAAAGCCTCGGATGGACCCCCTTTTTGATGACGACATTGTCAACCGTGACAACCATGGCAACCGGGAAGGGAAGGTGCCTCTGCCCGGATGGTGGATGTCCTCATGATGGCCAAAGCAGACATTACCGCAATCAGAGATATGTGATGTACGGAAATGGAAAGAAACCTTTGGGCCTTGCTACTGCCTTGTAAAGGAGCTCAAATTCGGGGTTGGATTTGAGTGGCAGAGAGACTCCCTGCCGAGTGCTGTCGTCCACCCCGGTGGACAAGCGTCTCGCCACAATCCACAAGGAACCAATATTCTTCAAAATCTCGCATAATTGCGCCCGCATTCCTACAGAAGAGAAGGACGAAGCCTCCTAGGGCGCTTGGAGACTGAGGCTGATCGACTTCGCCGGCGACCGAAACAGTATGCAGTACAAGAAACGAAGTCGGGAATGTTGTGATAGACGGCAGGCACGCTGCCAGCGTTTCAGACGTACGTACACTCCAAGTCCAAACATCGACTCGGAAAATTTTTTTCAGCCAAAATACGCTCCCGCAGCCAAAATGTGCGCCCAATAAAGCACGGAAACCTCAACTTTGAAAAGCTGTAGACATAGCAGACAGCAAAGGTATTCGCCACTCGACTTTTACACCTACTCTCAGAGAGCACACTTCAACAAACCGACATATGCGAGCAGTGAAGCCCACTCATTGCCTAACGCAGCCGAAGAAGTAGTCGGGTTTTAGCGAGCCCGAAAGAAAACTGGTACGATGAGGAATGTCACGAAGCTTCAGGGAAATTGCCTATAGGAAAGCCACTCTGCCATCGGGCGCAACGCGAGCTATGTGGAACCGATATAAGATGCTGAATAGGGAAACGAGACGTATTTGCAGCAGTAAGAAGAGATAGACCGAAGTATTTGAGTGCGAATAGATTAAATTTCTGGACGATAGGAAACGACTATGGCGACCTAGTACCGATGTCAAGATAAGTATTATTGATGGAATACTTTTCCACCATTTTGAATGGCAGCAGCATTGAAAGCAGTGTAGAAACCGCTGCAAACCGGTTTTGAACCGAACCGTCGCTTTTTTCGGTTTTCGTACCGAACCACGAACCGAAGCTTTTTTATTTTGAAATGCCAAAACCAAACCGAAAACCACCCCAAAAAACGGTTCGGTTCGGTTCAAAAAATCCACTATAGCATCTTTCATGTTTTGTAATACATACACATCTTTGTCTAAAAATGCAACTCGTATGGTAAAACTGCAAAATTTTTTTTCTGAGATGGCAACTTCGTGAGTTGTAATTTCGCCCCTATAAAGTATGATTGAAATGTTTTATATGGAACAAAATACTTAACAACGCCAGCAAAAAAATCCAAAAATTGGTGCGAATTTTAAAATGATTTAAACTTGAACTTAACACATTACACTAAAATAGAATGAGCTATAAAACTGCATACTTCGATTTTTTTGGTTCTGATTAAAAAAAT